TGGACTCAAACCGCTGAAGTGTCGACCATTTCTGGCCGGCAACTTTCAGCATCATTAAGCCGCTGCGCCACCGCGTCCCCCTTTGTATTTACCTTACTGAGTAATATATAACATACAAAGAAGCTATTCTTGCTTAAATTTAATTAAACTTGTTATGTATGCGTGTTGTTAGTTTCACCATTGCTGCATATTCTTCAAGTTTAAGTTCCCAGGCAGATATCATTGGTACTATGTCTTTTTTCAATGTTGTACGAAGTTTGTCCTCACAGCCATAAGCATGTATCTTAATAAACTATTGTATTTGTATTGTTAGGTTCTGGAATTATATCTAGTTTAAAAAAAATGTGGTTTCATTTCGAATTTGATCTCTAAGATTCTCTGAATGCTGCTGTGTATGTCTTTCCAATACTTTTGAGGTTTTTCCATGTCTACCACATATGGAAGAATACCAGATCTCTTTCAAACCATAGCTTGGAGTAAATTTTATACATTTGTTCCACAGTTATCATTGTTGTATTGGGACTGTTTCTTTGAAGTTTTGCATCCAATTTCTCATATATGTTCAATTCATTTCACAGCAAATTGGGATTCTTTGGGGAAAAAATGGAGGGGTACTAATGCTTTTGGCAGCATCTGTATAATGGTTTGCTCCCTTTCTCAATCACTCTTATTGTCCTTCTTTCATTTCTAATATAATGCACCAAAATATTTCCTGGTTTATTTGCTTTTTCAAAGTGGTTTTGTTTGGCATAGTTTTTCTTCTTTTGAAATTCTTCCAGTTCTAATCAGTCTATTTCTTGTTTGACATTATTTAGCTCTCAATACCTGTTGGTTTGGGCAGGTTTATTTTTCATTCCAATTGTAATTTCTGTCTATTATATTCTTTTCCTGGTTTACTGCAAATCTGATAAAGATTCCTCTCATGTAAGCTTTACTTGTCTCCCATATAGTTATCTTTGACATCCTGGAGTTATATTTATTTTGAAATAATATTTTTGTTCTTCATTATACTATTGCAATATGCTTTCTTGGAGTAATGTGTAATTCATCCTCCATTTGAAAGGCAATTTTTCTCCTTGGAATCATGTACTGAAATTGGATTGTGATCCACGTTATTGGGAGGACCTTCACTTCCTCAACAGACAATGTAAAAACCTTGGAGTTGGGTATTTATTGAGACTTTTTGTTATTCCTGATTAAGTAATAAGTCTAAATCACTTTCATATTACTTGATATTAATTAACCAGAATTCATTTTATGAATGAAACCAGTCACGGCTGATACTTAAGTGTAATTAAATGAATATTTTCAGTCCTCCAGATTGATCTTTAATGAAACTCACTAATGTCTAACAGAATTAAACATTTTTATTGGTTACATTTCTATTCCACTGTTGTTGTTTTTCAAACTGCTATTCACAATAGTCCTATGAAGTACATTTGCTCAAAAAAGGGTGACTTGTCAAGTGCTACCCAACTACAGGCTAGTATCTCATATCCAAATCCAATATTTATCATTTTACATC